TCCAGCTAAAAGCTTACTTTAAGCAAAGCAGCCTAGGAAAATGTAGTCACAAGAGACATTTTAGTTTCCCTTTAGTTTGTGTATTGCTTATATATATATAATTGTTTGATAATAAAATTAAAAATTTGTCTTGTAACCTTGGTAAATGGGGAGAGTAATAAGCTAATATCTTTTGCTTTTAGGGAGTCCACACAAATCTATTCCTCTAAATATCATTTGTTTGTCAAAATATTTACACCCTCCTTTCCTAGTGGAATCAGTCCCTCAAATTTACAGTAGTATATAATCTTTTATTAAAAGTTTGTGCTAGGTTAAAGTTGAAACCACGGCTGGGAAATATGTGCTCCTCTAGAGATTATTGGACTCCAGCTCCCATCATCCATCATTCACTGATCAGATTTTGGACCCCAACAACCTCTGGAAGGATATAAATATCCCCAGCCTTCATTTAAATCTCTTTTAGAACTTAGGTGTGGGCAAAGTTCAAGCTCTTTAGTGTTGTTGCTATTTTTAGTAGTACACCAAAGTCAACCAATGAGGAACTGCTGGAAAATAAAGGGGTGACAAAATGCTGGTGGAGGTGGGGGAGGACATTACCTGTTGGATTTCCTAAACTATGCCAAGCTTATCCAGCCTGGTGGCCCTCAGATATGCTGGGCCATTGCCATACTGGCTGGGGATGATTGGCAATTGTAACCCAATACATATGGAAGACTGGTTAGGGAAAGCTATGTAATGGGGGCACTAAAAATAAGAATTTTAACAGCCTTGTTATATGGGGATGGTAGAAGGGGGAAATCAATAACAAAAGAGAGGGAGAGGGTAACAAAATACAGCTTCTTCTAGCACACCTAACTGCTCATCCAAACTAGCAGTGTGTGCCACATGATGCTGCACCATTTAATGTCATGTGTTGATGCTTCTCCAAACTGTTTTATTTCAAATAGGCAGTGCATGAGTGTGCATGCATGGGGAGATCTGAGCTAAGTTGGGCAAGGGGTGAAATTAAGCATGTGCAGGTGAAAAGACATGAAAATTAGCACTAACAGCCCACATTATAAAGTGCTGCCCCAGTGTGAAGTCAAGTACTGTATAACAATAGCTGCACACATAGGTTTGGAATCCAAAATGTACCCAAATGAACCTACACAGGAAGAAATGCTTTATTCAGGGAAGGATTAAAAATCTGCAGTAATTGATGGGAATTACCAGGAAATATGCTAGGACAAAAGAAATGACATTTAGATCGTGATACATTGCTAGGAGTGCTACCTAAATACCCTGAAGGCACCAGATCCTATCTGACCTTAGAAGCTTAGTAGGGTCAGCCCTGTCTTGTACTTAAATGGGACACTGCCAATGAATGCCAGGTACCAGGCTATATTTCAGAGGAAAGAACTGGCAAAACCACCTCTGAGTGTTCCTTGCCTAAAAAACCCTGTGAAATTAATGGCGTCATCATAAGTCAACAGGTGACTTGAAAGCAGATACACAAACACACTACATTGCTAGGAACCCAACCCATTTAGCCACTCTACTTTTTATGGTAGAAGATTTATTTGGAAGGTGATTTCAGTGGGGTGGAGGAGATTATTAGAACAAAGAATTTCCCTTACCTAAGATTAAGCGACATCTTTTAAAAGTTGCATGCTGGAAAATGCTGTTTGTGCTTAAAGCCATGCAATTGTGTGAACAGAAGAGGTAACAGTGTGTTACTGTGGACTCCAGGTGGTGCCATATCTAACATGTATGCTATGTTGGTTGCACGTTTCAAGATGTTCCCAGAAGTTAAGGAGAAAGGCATGGCAGCTATTCCAAGACTGGTTGCCTTCACATCAGAGCATGTAGGTGTTTCTGTTTTCGTCATTATTTGCTCATTAAACTAACCATGATTTTATAACTGTAAAATCCAGTTGTTACTACCAGCTAGAATAGATCTACTGAATGAATGGTAACATAATAAGTCAGTGCTTATATAAAATACATTGCTCAACAGATCTACTTTAATTGAATTTTGGCCTATGTAATAACTTACTAAGGACATTATTACATGGGGACGGGACGTCATTGTCCCATCCCTGTCCCATGCTTATCTCATGCTTACCGCGTGATTGCAGGAAGAACTTTCACGCAAAATTGTGCTTATCGGGACATTGTCCCAATGAATTTGATCATGCAAAAGGCTTTCTCACTAAATTGCGCTGATCCTGTGAATGTCCCATGAATGAAGTGGAATTGTCCCCTCATTTTCCCTAATTTTGTATTATCGGAAGATCCCAGTAATGCAATTCCACTTCATTGGACTTTATCACACAGGGATGGGCATCTTTATCCTGTCCAGAAAGTGCAATTGAATGTGATCGTGCAAAAGCCTTTCTCACTACAATGCACTAATCCCTGAATGTCCCATCAATGAAGTGGAATTGTATTACTGGGATCTTCCTATAATACAAAATTAGGGGAAATGAGGGGATAATTCCACTTCATTCACAGGACATTCATGGGACATTCACAGGATCAGTGTGATTTAGTAGGAAAGCCTTTTATATGATCACATTCAATTGCACTTTCTGGATGGGACAATGTCCCGATAAGCACAAATTTGTGTGAAAGTCCTTCCATCGATCATGCAATAAGCATGAGATAAGCACGGGACAGGGATGGGACAATGATGTCCCATTCCCCATGTGATAATGTCAATTGATGGGATATTCACGGGATCAGCGTGATGTAGTGAGAAAACCTTTCACACGATCATGTTCAGTCGCGCTTTCTGACTTATTTAATGGACTTCCTTTAATTAAGGAAGCCTTATTTAATGGACTTCCTTTCTTCTCTCTCTCTCTCTCTCTCTCTCTTCCTTCCTTCCTGCCTCCTTCCTTCCTTCCTTCTTATGAAAGGAATTGTGTACTGTCACTTCCCCTTTCTGAAATGCATTATATTAGGAACATTTAAAGTTACTCAGTATTACTACTCCAGTATTGCAGATGTGGGGCTGATCCCCAAAGACAGTGTCTTTTTGAAGGGGCATTTCTTTATTTACAGGAGATCTGAAAGTAAGACTTCCTGGTTCACTGTTTTGATATTCAGCCACTATGCTACAATAGATTTAAATGTTAATTACTTTTTTTAAAAAATAACTCCAAATGTCTCCCCCACTCCCAAGCCCAGGAGATGCATTTTTTAAAGAAACAGGATATACACTGGAAGTGACAAAGAAGACAAGGAAAGGCATTTTGAATGGGAAATTAGCTTTTTTAAAAAATAAAATGGGGACAGGGAACTATTAGAAGCCTCAAAACCAGACCTGAAGCTGTATGCAGTCCATAGGCCATGCCTTTTTCTCAAATTGGGAGGAAATATGAACAGCAGTGACCAGATGCCCACCCTAGCTTTCAATAAATATATACCCTGCAATTGTCCTGATTTGACAGGGACAGTCCCAATTAATACTCTGTCTTTCCACTTTTCCAGCAGCTTTTAAAATGTCCCAGTTTCTCTCCACTCCTCCCACCCACCCCCCTTTCCTCAGATTAAATTGCTGCAAATTGAATTCAAAGTGAAAAAGTAGTTAATATTCAACCGGTGGAGGGGAATGGGTGGAATATTGCTCTTCCCAGTACCCTCGAGCAAATGCAAACTGGTGCAGCCTCTCCTAGCTCCTCATTACAAATGTTTGCCATCTTGAGCCCAATTTGATGTTGCTTGGTCTCACATGTCCCTGTTTTCATCTGTGAAATATTGGAGGATATGTAAATAAGGAGCAGTCACATCTCATTTTATTTTTGCTGTTGTATGTATACAGAAAGATAAATTGCTATATACAGAAACAGTCCGCTAGGTATGTAGAGACAGCTATACTAACTAGTTGGGCATTTCATTCACTAATGGCTACTGTTAATGACATGATTATCAGTGTCTGTACTTTCTCTTTTCTAATTTCCCCTGACCTTCCATCTTCCATTATATGTCTATATTAACCTGTAACTCAAGGCAACACTGACTTGTAAAATATAATGTCTAATTCAGGATTACACTTCCTTCCTGCATTGGATGAAGTGGGTTGTTATCCATAAAAGCTTTCTCTACCATTGGTCATAAGTCGTAAGCCTTTTGGAGGCATTAGTATTACTACAAATGCTTAGCTTTCTGTAATAAATCTTAAATTTATTTCACCATGATTTGCACAGACACTTGAGTATTATTTGCACAGAAAGTTTCCTGGTGGGTTTTCTCCCCCTTCCCCACCCATACTATGTCATGATTCTTTAGCAGCTGAAGAAGCAAGACTACTTAGAAACTTTGTGAAAAAATAATCATCCATGTCCTTTTTTCAGAGTCATTTTTCTGTGAAGAAAGGAGCAGCAGCCTTAGGAATTGGTACTGACAGTGTGGTTTTGATCAGATGTGATGAGAGGTAAGTACAGTCTTAATCCCTTTAGGAAGAGACAATCCTTGATTATCACACAAGCGAAGGGGGAAAATATTAAACAGACTGCCAAATAATATAAAATGGTATAATTCTGTATTTAATTTAAGTAAGTTGTACCACACCAATAAAATCTTTTCATTGAGTTCAAAAGGTGTTATAAAATAGGCATTGGTGCTTGACTTGTGTGCTGATGTTTTTTTTTCATTTCAGACTCAGGTAAACTAACTGTTCATGTTTCTATATTTGTTGTTTTTTTTAAAAACACATTACCTATTTATGCAGAACTGGCTTAGATTCTGCATTGTCTGGCAGATTGTAAAGTTCTGCCTGAGAGCCAGTAAGGTGCAGTGGTTTAAGTGTTGGACTAGGATTCTGGGAGGCCAGAGTTTGAATCCGTACTCGGCCATAAAAACCCACATGGGGTGTATCCACATTGCAAAATTAAACCAGTTTGACACCACTTTAACTGCCATGGCTCTATCCTACAGAATCTTGTAATTTGTAATTTGGTGGCTTTCTCTGAGGCTGAATGAGTGTGATTTGCCCAAGATCACCCACTGGATTTCCATGGCTGAGCAGAGATTCAAACCCTGGTCTCCAGAGAAATAATCTCGTGTTCTAACCACTATGCCACCATGCTGGTTCTCAAGCAATTCTTAATCTGACCCTCCAGATATTTTGGATTTCAGCTGCCAGAATGAGGCTTCTGGGAGGTGAACTCCAAAACATCTGTAGGATCAAAAGAAGAGAGCCACTGCTCTAAGGAAAGGAATTTTTCCAGGAGTGTCACCCTGATTATGGAGTGACTTTGTGAAAGACACTCACTGGTTGCTAGCTTTGTGGAATTTGTGTATATCTGAAAAGAATATTTTTGTTCACTTTTTAAAAATCTTCAGATCTTTAGCCTGGAACTTTCCATTCAAAATTCATCCTTGAAATGTTTGGTGTTTTCTCTAAAAAGTTTAAAACATTTTATTGTTTACATTGTATTTTAATGTTGGTTTTGTTTGTGAGATGCCCAAAGAAATTGTGTTACTGGATAGGTATATAAACTATGTACTGTATATAATTAAAATGTGTGTAACAAACAAAATATGTGTAATACCAATGGTAACACAATGAGGTTATCATACACTTCTCAGTTGTCTCCAGGCTAGTACCACTCTTTTGAAGAACTCCATTCTTTCATTGATACACTGCCAGTGAATTTGCTTGGAATATTGTTTGGATCCAGTCTTATTTGTCATGCTTTGAGTAAACCCATTGAAACTAAGTTCAGTCATCATAAGTAAACTAAAGTCTCATTGATTTCCATTTGGTTCCTTTGTGTGCATGTTTTCAGGTTAATGGAAATGTTACTGACATCAAAGGATTGTGGTTTCATTATGAAACAGACAGAATAACCTAATCAATGGAACTGAATAACAAGATGAGAATTACCTCCATATCAAGCTAAGATTCAGTTAGAATACACTAATGCTGACATCACATAGTTCGTTGTTGCTGTATGCCTTCAAGTCATCCCTGACTTATGGTGAACTTATCATGAAATTTTCTTGTCAAGATTTGTTCAGAGGAGGTTTGCTGTTGCCTTCCCTTGAGGATGAGAGCATGTGACTTGCCCAGTCACCCAGTGGGTCTCATGGCCAAGCTAGGAATCAAACCCTGGTCTCCAGGGTCGTAGTCCCACACTCAAACCACTACACCACACTGGCTCTTGACATCACATTGCACTCAAGCTGATATTAAAATGATTTAACCTCTGACTCGGTCAAACTATAAATATACCAGCCAAATGTGATGATGGAAGAACATTTAAGTTGACCAACGGTCTATGTTGTTTGTGAACTTGCTCCATAAAGTTGTTCTACAAATTCAGTACAGTCATGAGGTATAGCCCTAGTTGGACTTTTCCACTTCAGAATGCAAGTAGGGTAATCTCATAATTGAATGCTTGCCCATCTTGAATAAGCTCCATGCAATGCTAGCCTCTCAGCTAGAAGTGATCGAACTTATTCCTTGATATGCTGGTTTTCCAGATGCAGGGAGCACTCGGTCTTGTGATTTCCACCAACTGCATCTGAAGTGGTACCATTCCAGAAAGAATGCATAGTCTCATTATTCTGACAGTGTATTTTGATTCCTTTCTTTTTCCAAAATTGCTAGTTCCTGCATTGCCTCTTAAAGTTTTGTTGACATTGGCCGTGATCAATTGCACCAGTGCAGCAGTCACACCAGTGTGGTCTGCTAGGCTCTCAGCCATTCTCTGGATTGTGATATGCATGTGTGTGTGTGTGTGTGTGTGTGTGTGTGTGTGAAATCAAGCACTTTCTGGGCAACAGCCAGTAGACTATGAATTTTAACAAAGGCAACTGCTTTACAGAGATTTACAACTGGATGTCTTGGGACACTGAATTGGCTCATGAACCCACCTCCCTCAAATCTGTAGGTTTTATTGCTGGACTACAAGTGCCATAATCACCAACTAGCATATCCATTGGCCTTCTCCAACAAGTTGGTTTGCAGAGGCTGCAATAAACCGTATATTTCATGTGTCTCTCACCCTCTCTCTTCATGAAGGATAACATGAGAGTCACAGAACAAGACCAAATAGTCATCTCTTAACTCAGTCAAGGTGAACAGAAAGCACTGCTTTACAACCCTACCACCACATATCAATTCTCACCTGATTGTGGAAGCTAAGCAGTTTGGGCTTGGTTGGCGCCTGGATGGGAGATCACCAGGGAATACTAGAAATCTCTAACAGACTAAGAAAGAATCCTGCCTGAAACCCTAGAGATCCACTGGTGGCCAGAATAAACAGTACTGGGCTAGTTATACGAGTGGCCTGACTCAGTGTAAGGCAGCTTCCTCTCTTATTGTGTATAAGTAGTTTTTTTTTTTTTTCTTGAATGCTTGTAAATGGCAAATAGAACTTCGCACAGCTTGAACAAGTTTAGTCTTTTACTACAAATCTCCAAATTCCCATCCACATGGATTGTGATCATGCTGGTTGGGGATTATGGGAGTTGTAGTAAAAAAAATTCATAGTTCTGGAACTTCTCAACAACCTGAGTATCAGAATGATTATGAAAAGTCATGATAGCAAATTGATAACCATTATCTTTTGATTTCTTCATTCCAGAGGCAAAATGATCCCATCTGATCTTGAAAGGAGAATCATTGAAGCAAAGCAAAAGGCAAGTAGATTTCTGCCTACAGTCATTGTGCCATACAGCAGTTTTCCCCAACCTGATGTCCCCCAGATGTGTTGGACTTAATTTTTCATCTTTCCCCATCTAACATAGCAATTAGTTGTGGTAGTAGAGAATTATAGGAATTATACCCTGGAAAGCATCAGGTTGGGGAAACTTCAGAAGGAAGTTAAAATGTTTTCTTATGCCACTCATGTTCATGCATTTACATTGGCTCTTTTTGCCATTTAGCTTTGTGATGCATCTGTTATCACTTCAGTATTAATTGGATTGTTGTTGTTTGAGTGGCTTAGTTAAATTGTTATTTATTTTATTGTTTAATTATTTTGAGTGCTGCTTCATGAAGGACTGGGGACTTGGGCCCCAGCTTATATGGATAAAAAAAAATACAACTTTTCAGTGTGTTTGAATTGGTGTGAGTGTTTAATGGATTGGATGTAAATGTATATGTTTATGGTGTGAGTGTTTAATGGGTTGTATGGATCAATGTAAATGTTTAATGGATTGGATCAATGTAAATGTAAATGCAAATACAGGGGTAGGCAAAGGGCGTCCTGTGGGCCATGTGAGGCAGTTGGCAATTTTCCTCACTCTCAATGCAAAATGCCAGAGATTTTCTTCAGGAATGTAGCGGGAAAAGGAACAATTAAATTCCTTCTCCATGCATGCCTGCTGTGATCCAAATAATTATCACAATCCCCCCCCACTCTCTGTGGTGTACATTTTTAAAAACCCTACATATTGCATGCAAAACCACCTTTGAGGTCATATGTACTTTGGCTTCAAATAACAGGATTTGGAGAGTCCCTCTCCTTCCTTGAGATTAGGGAGAGAGAATTGTTGCCAGTCACCATAAACATACATGGCTAGATGATCCAAGATGCCAAACAGATGCTTGAGAAGCTGCCCTAGATCCTGTCAGACTGTCATTCCATCTGTCTACGCAGGACTGTCAACCACACTAACTGGCAGGATTTCAGAAAAGAGTCTTTCCTAGATCTGACTGGAGATGCCAGCGGTTGAATCTAGGTCCTTCACATACAATCAATGTTCACCAGAGCTAGACCCTTCCATTGCTTCCAATGTTCATATGCCACTGATAGTTCCCATGATATGATTTTTGTGTTCCACTCTTCAGCAGGGCATCATTACTGGCCTTATCATCAGGCAAAGTGAACCAGCCACTCACTTCATGGGGGTCTGCAGCAAAAATGTTAGAAAACAGAACTATGTGTGCCTCCTGGCTTGCCCTATGTTCTCTGAGCTAGACTGCTGCCTTCAGGTGAAGGGAAGACATTGTTCTGTTAGCAGTGTTGAAGTGGGATTCAGCTGTCAGTCTCATCAGCTTCTGTACAGTCTATACCAGGGGTAGGCAACCTAAGGCCCGGGGGCCGGATGCAGCCCAGCAAGGCCTTTGGACCGGCCCCAAACCGGTCCTGCCGCCGCCGCCCCCCCCACCGCCGCTGCCCCCCCATGATGATATTGATTATTGTTGTTATTACTTGTTCTTGGGGTTTTCTTGGCAAAATCTTCACAGGGGTTTTGCCATGGCTTTTCTGGGGCTGAGAGAGTGTGCATGCATTTTTTTAAATTTTTTAATTCTTTTTTAATTTTAATTTTAATTTATTTATTTATTTATTTATTTATTTATGGTGCTTCGGCCCATCAATTGTCTGAGGGACAGCAACCCGGCCCCCGGCTCAAAAAGGTTGCCTACCCCTGGTCTATACATTGCCCTTTGCTTCCTGATGCAAAATCTCTTGTCTCAGGCTACATCTGCACTGCTGAAATCATGTAGTTTGATACCACTTTAACTGCCATGGCTAAATGCTGTGGAATTCTGGGATTTGTAGTTTTGTGAGACATTTAGCCTTCTCTGTCAGAGAGCTCTGGTGCCACAACAAACTACATTTCCCAGTATTCCATAGCATTGAGCCATGGCAGTTAAAGCGGTGTCAAACTACATTATTTCTGCAGTGCAGATTCAGCCTCAGTCTTGCCAGGTATTAAAACTTGCCTCTACATGTCAAAGTTTAGCTGGTCTTTACTCACAATATTCTTTAAGATTGGCACAATATTGATAACAGATATTGATACAATATGATATGGTATTGATTAATGTAACAAATGGTTAAATAGGATCCCATTTAGGGGGGAGGGAATTATAATAATTTTAAGTTGTATGCATTTTAGTCTTGTAAACCGCCTAGATTGGTTCGCCACCGGGCGGTATATAAATAAAATTTATTATTATTATTATTATTATTATTATTATTATTATTATTCACATTTCTGGGTCATCTTCAGAGGAATCCTATCCCACTGCAATAATCCAAGTGGGAGGTTAGCAAAATATGGTTAATGATGCCCAAGAATAGTTATAACTGATGCCTCAAGGGACAGTTGTGCCCACTGAGCCTCAAGA